TGAATTAATATATATATATATATATATATACAATGCACTAAGAGGCTTCAGGTAATATTACAAATTCTCTGTGACTGGCTTAGAACTAGTTTCTGAGGGACCAGTCACCGAAGATCCAAGTATTTACAGGTGCCTCGAAAAGAGTGCATGGTACATATGATTTCTATCCTTCATCAAGAAGTAAAAAACTAAGAATGCGAACTATAGGCTATAAAAAATACATTATATCAGGAATCAAGTACAAATTCACACCTTTGTCCAAAATACACACAGATCGACACACCACCACCACACACAACAAACACACACATACCCAAACACATGTACAATGAATTTATACATGCATGCATACATGCACGCACATGCCAAATTTGACAACCATAAAGTAAAAGAATTGGACATATTTCGAAATACTGACAGCTGCAAACTGTAGTGTTTTATTATAATGAACTTCGAAATAAGACGACACACTTTCAAGTAGTATCATGAAGATTGAGTATTTTGTCAGGAAGATGTGAACTCTTTAATTTGAGTCCCATCACTTAGAAAATGATGTATAATGGTAAGGGGCGTCGCTAGACCTTTTTTAGTGGGGGGGGGGGGGGGTGTAGAGGCCAACGATTACCGACAAAATTAAATGTCCCAATATTTACAAATTTAACCCTATATACACGGGGCCGAAGGCTAAATTGTTTTTCCTACGGACTACCTATAGTACTTGCGTATGCGCAAATGGTCATTTTCCTCGACGACATAAATATACGAATTATTTCGTCAACTTAGTCAGCATCATAGCTATATATTTTAATAGGAAGCTAGGATCTCATTTTAGGGAGGGGCGGTAGTGAGCAGGCGAATCACTCAAAGAGTGCGCGAAGCGCGCTCATTAGGGGGGTGTGGGTGATAGGCCTACCGCGCGAAGCGCAGAAGCTTAGACGTTTCCTTAAATTATTAGGAAGAGAAGACGATTTATTGTACCGTTCTCGACTGTTAACCCTTGTCTGTATGAATTCCCCCGCCCCTCCCGCGCAAAGCGCGAAAGCTTTGGCGTTTCATTAAATTATTATAAAAAGAAGACCATTTGCTGTACCGTTCTCGACTGTAAATCCTTGTCTGAATTAGTTCCCCCCCCCATCCCGCGCGGAAGTTTTGGCGTTTCATTAAATTATTAGAGAAAGCAGACGATACGTTGTACCGTTGTCGACTCTTAATAAGCCCTATTTATCTGAATTCGGTTTCCCCCTCTCGCGCGAAGCGCGGAAGCATTGACGTTTCCTTAAATTATTAGAGAAAGCAGACGATTGGGTGTACTGTTCTCGACTCTTAATTCTCGTCTGAATTCAGTTTCCCCTTCCCGCGCGAAGCGCGAAATGCTTAGAAGTTTGATTTAATTATTATAGAAAGAAGACGAGAAGGCGAACTTTAGACCGTTCCTGAAACGGTCTAACCTGCAACGGCGCTTTATACTGACCGTTCGACCACACACGGCGCAATCAAGATCAGTGCAGTCGTCACGGTAACCTATTGGCACCCTACCTCCCCTAGATCGCGCGGGCGGGAAAAATTGTTCTGCATTGCTAGCGCGAGAGAGAGGAGCATGAATGCGGTGCAATAAATGCAGAAGACTGCGTGGCCGGCCGGCCGGGGCGCGGCCCAATGCATTTTGTGTATATAGTGGGATTCTTATTATTCTGAAGTTTATGAAGTGCTTGTTCGCACACGTCGCGCAACTATTCTTAATGATAGTGACATACTGTATACGTGTAGGCTATACAGTTATACATACATTAAAAAAAAAAAAATTCTCATGTATTATGCTGAAATTGAAACAATCACATTTTTTTCTTCTTCTTCTTCTTCTTCTTCCTTTTTTTCTCTCTTTTTGTTGTAATATCAGGGGGGATGTTTGTACAGGCAATCCCCCCTATACCTCAAGCCAGGGGGGATGCGGCCCCCCCCCCACCCCCCCCCCCCGGATTTACGCCCCTGGTGTATAATGTCATGTTTTGAATTGGTAGACAGTCTTACAGTTGTTCACATGCAAAGGTAGTTTGTTCCAAAGTTCAACAGAAGCTTTGCAAAAAGAGCGGTGATTATCGAGTTGACACCGAAGTAGACGCTATGTTGAATTGTGAAGATGACCGAAGATTGCATAAGGGTTTGTATTCGTGGATTAGTTCTTGCAGATAAATTTGTGCCAATTCATGAATACATTTATAAGTTAAACCAAGATTTTGTACATAATGCGGTACATCACCGGCAACCAATGCAATTTGCGAAGTACTGGGGGTGTTTCACAGAGACTAAGATCGACTTTATTAAAGTTAGACTCAACTATGGCAGGCCGTTCATGCCACAGTTTACTCTAACCATTATGATCTTTAGATACTATTTTTCCTTCAATTATTAAATTATCAAAAAAATGTAGATTTGTGACCATGATTTGTTCGTCCCTTGAGAGACCAATACCAAGAAATGGTGAGAGCAAAGTTCGGCAAACAGTGGCATAAACGGCCTGCAATAGTCAAGTCCAACTTAAAGTCGATCTTAGTCTTTGTGAAACATCCCCTGGAGTACGAGTAATGTAATCACAAGAACGTGTGCGTGTTACAAGCCTGGCAGCAGAGTTTTGGATTCTCTGGAGTTTTGCAATGCGTGAGTCCGGAAGGCCACAACGAAGGCTACTGCTTTGATTGATTGTTATCTTGATAAATGCGTGAATAAGCGTTTCGGTGGATTTTCGATCAAGAACATCATACATGCCAACTGTTCAGATTAAAGAGGAACATTCCTCTTTTTGGGAGAAGATAATTATCATTTTAATGCAGGTGTTCCTCTTCCTGTACGAATTTGTCTCTAGTATTGAATAGGAGAGTTAGGATTGTTCCTCTTTTTTTTTTTAAATAGCATAATTTGTACAGATTTCTGATTTTCAAATGTTGGCATGTATGGAACATTTCTATTACGACCTATCTTGTACTCTTGTACTTTGCTGGCCTTGATCGCGCAATATTCAGATACAGCAGAATGATTAGATCGGATGAGGTTTACCGTGTTCAGATTCCAAATATTTGCAACAAATTCGATCATATTGACAAGGACGCAATTAATAGTTGTACACGAGAATTGTCAGTTAATAATTGTATTTTCTCACCCAAGGTTAGAGCAGATGGTCGCGATGGCCTTCGATATTCTATAAAACTAGTAGAAGCTATCTAGGCAGTACTTCAACAGGTAGCTGGATAGAGACACTTCGTCACATCAAGCTTCGAGAAAGTTTATCATTTATCATCTCACAGAATTCTACTCGAACATCACATCGAAATCAGGTAGGCCCAAGTATTCTTGTTGCACATGAGACGTCTTTCTATAAATTCTGTCAGTTTTGTAATTGTATTGATAATGATATCGATTATTAACAAAAAGGGACCTTATCGCTTACTCAGTAATATAATGTGAATAGAAACATCATTATTAATAAATAGGTAAATCATGCTTTATTACTGACGGAAGATGTATGTTTTAATAGACCTTTCGAAGCTGTCATCAGTGAAACACAAATTTGCAACACTGTGACGTATTTGCAACCCACTCTCCAATGGCTCAGTCGGTAAAGCGTCTGCTTGTCGAACCAAAGATCTCGGGTTCGAATCCAACCCAGGCGGATGACTGAAGCCTGCGTTGTGTTTTAACGTGCCTCTCCCCTTGTTTCACAGACACAGGCTATGTTAAGTGGAAAGCACCCCGTCCCTCGGATAGGGCGTTAAACGGATGCCCCGTGTAGAGGAGAGTCACCACCTTTGCACGTTAAGAACCCACTGCACTATTCGTACAAGAGTAGGGGAAAACCCCGTTGTAGTGGTCCACCTGCATACCTCAATCAGTTATACTGGAAGGAGATACCCGAGGGTTACAGTGATTCAGTTTGCTTTCCACCTCCCAGGCTCAGGTGACGCCAAATACATAATAATAATAATAATTTGGTCTGTACAGAAAAGTTCATAAACTTTCATTATCTCATAAATTGATGACAGGATAGATTGGTAATTGGTTTCATACAGGTCTGGTTGTATAAAACATATTTGCAATAATTATATTTAGGGTGAATGTATGCTTGAATATTGTCTTAAAGGAATATATCAATCTTTGAAGTCTTTTAGTACCGGGCAAATGGGAGGGGAAAGCGTTGGCAATTTGTGTTGCATTGATTGCACCTTCAACTGAAATCATAACTTTCTTATTAATAATCAGTTTTTGCTAAAATTTTCACTGGCCCGTTCTGTCTATTTTTTCTGCTTTCATTAAAACCAAGTTAGTATAAGGGTAGATTTCCCCTTCGAAGAAGTTGGCTACAATTTACAACGACAAAAACGGACCATATATATTTCTTGGGTATTAAAGACTTCATATCAATACTAGAAAGTGTTTAACCAATTTGGGGTATATTTTACTCAACAAACATGCTAAAGTTATGATGGCTCATACCCAAGCTTGAGTTTGATAATGTTAGAAGGTGGTATCCCAAGTACTGTTGTCAGATCATGCATTAAATTCGAGTTCTTAATATTTTCTGCGCCTTGATCATAGCATTGAGTCGTTTTCTCAAGGAGGGTGGGGTAAAGCCTTTAAGTGTATGTAATGACAGCAATGAAGAAGTGGACCGTGAACATCGTCTTTCAACACGGCATTAAGAAACGTTCTCATGTGTTTGGTTCCAGATAGCGAAGAATGTGATTGAATGTAGACATTCTGACGCCTTCCGCCTTGCATTCATCAGAGCAACCGCAATTCCCGTATTTTCTGACAGTCAATCGTCTCGTAGCCCATTAATTTTCGGGCAATTTGTTCCTTCAGTTTCCGTTCTAACTTTATATCATCCAGAATTTGGCTTTCTGTTCATTCTTGATGAGTGGTTAAAGGAAAATTTCAGTACGTCACTATTCATGCTGGGATTCTTAATTGTGTTGCACTTTCACCGTAGCTTTGACCAAAATTAATGATCAAAGTGTATTCCATGTTGATTCTATTTTCCTCAGACTATGAAAATGGCGTCAAAAACCATGATCGCTCTCTACTCTCTGATTGCCTTGGCCGTGGCAGCAAGTGCTTTGGTCAAGGAAGATTTGATCCAAATTCCTGATGCGTTGAATGTAGAGGAGAACCAGAGCGAGAGCCCCGACGGTAAGTAATTCATTTTTAATCCTGTCAACCAACTAAATGAATAACTAAAACATGATAATTACAAAACGATCAGCCTAAAGCAATATCCGTATGATTGTGCGGTCACCTATTGAAATGTGCCAACATGACAATGATGTTTTTACATAATCCGATCAGGTTTGAAGAAAGTGTGCCCTGAGGTTTGATGATAGAGGGGGGGGGGGGGAGGTTAAATATGAATGTTTTTTTTATCAGAGTTGTTTTCAGTATTGGAATTATATGCATTATATATAATTCTCCTTTCATCACCCGGACTCTCTTTCTCTATTACAAAAACGCGCAATGGGATTTCATACGTGGTGATATGCGTCATAGAAATATGGGTTGTCATTATCATTACTACAGTCTATTGAAGGCCACCAAACGAAAACACATAAAGTGGGCCACTGTATGCAGGTGGCCTTTCCAGACAGGTTCTTCGACACACATTCTCTTCTAGACGAAGGCAATATGAGTGACCTTTATAAAGAGTATAATATAGGCCACTATTAAAGGCAGGTTTGACTGTATAAGAGAAAGCCGCTGATTTAACACTTTTAGATGATACTTGTTGTCACTTCTTATCCCTACAAATGATATTTCCAGATGAATTTAGTTACCAGCCAAGTTTTGTTTGATTTGATTAGATTTATTGATTTATTATTGCTTCGATCAATTTTGGTCTTTTATTTTGGTATTGCAGCTTGCGTTTAATTCGGTCAAAACTGCTTTTGCAAGGGAAAGAAAGTACTAAATTGCGTTCGTAAGTCAAGCTTTATTATCAATATCTCAAAATATAAAGAAATATGCACATTAAATAGAATCCTCCTTCTATGAATAATAATATTACGTGCCTTTCAATTTTCGATTCAACACGTCTATTAGAAAGTCATGAAAATAAGAAAGGTCAATGAAGACCAACGTTAAAAGGCGGAAAGGTATATTTCTTTCGTTGTCATCTTTACCAACACCGTTACCACCCTCAACATGATCAATGCTATTTTTAACGTTTAAAGTAGATATTCATTGATTTTAAAAACTTACTTTATTTTCATTATTGCAAAGTTGAAACTTTGATTCGACAAGGTTATCAAAATTCAATGCTTGGAAATATTCGAAGTAATGATTATTACAAAACGCTTAAATACAGCCCCGGCATAGCACCTGAAGAGCTCTCCGAACGCTGCTGAGATGTGTGAGATCACAGTATGGACATGATTTGCACAAGCAGACGATGTCCCATGACATCTCACACATTTTCAGTGCCTGTGTTTTTATCTTCTCTTGAGTTTTTTTCTCTTACTTCATCTATTGCCCCACTCTAAACCCCGCGCATGGTTTTATTTTGATGAAAAATGCAGTGATACAAAAATAAAGGAATCTGTCGCTTGTAAACAAAGTAAGACGCCATTGTATATTCAGCTGCACACACCGCGGTAAGTGGGGCGTTTCGAGAGGGAACAAATGCCGTCCTTGATATCATTCCGGGGGTTTTTCAATCATGAAAGTCTGGTTTCTTCGATTGTTAATTAACCCCTATCCTGTGTATTTACAAGCAAAAGATTTTAGTTATCAGAATCGGGTCATATCTCCTTTTGAATGGTTTGACATACCCTTAAATTTATATACACTAAACTCATTATAATTTGAGAAATAATAGCTTTGCAAATATGTTCATTCTTTATGGGATGTCGTCTGCTTGGGCAGTATTGGTCCATATAGTCACGTCATTAAAACATCGTTATTTTTCCGGCGAATCTTTCGTATATCCCAGCTGCTATGGAGGTGGTTGTATTTGTATTTTTTGTAAATCATCCGATATGTAGTTGACCTAAAACTTGTACGATGACCATCTGTTAGCTTACCAGTTTTTTTTTTTTTTTTACCAGTTCTTTGAATTTCACCTTTAAGTTGATAATAGTAATATTGCTAATTTGATAGGTTATATTTACGATGGTCATTTTCACCGGCATGGTAATTATAAATGAGTGTGCTGTTTTAAAGACTATAAGGGGAGTAGCCTACTACAAAAATCATGACATTAGATGACTATCAATTTTGCATAATTATTATCAAAAAACTTTGCATAACATTAAAACAATACAATTATGAAGGACATGTTTATTTCTTACAAGTCAGGCTCGAACAACCATCGTTGACATTTGATTTTTAGAATATATTTTCTTCTTCAGAGGTAATTTATTCAATAATTTTTCAAATCATCAATATCGACAACATTAAAAGCATGTGTAAAATAAATATAAACACATTCAACAGCAATAATTACATTAAGAGGATCTAAATGCGTAATTCATAATCATTCACTTTACATTGGTTAGAAAAACGGGAAAATATTGTAATAGTTTAAAATCCCGGAGTAAAATGCTGAGGAGCATTAGATAAATGTGATTTTATCTATATGCAGTTTTTTTTATTTTTTTTATACATTTGCCATATCAAAAAGCTATTGTACGTTTTTCCATGAAGGTAATTTAACATATACACCTGTACATTATTGTGTGTATGTTATGAATATACTAGTATTTATATATTTTTCAATTGAGCAGTGAGATTCTGTACAAAGAATCAAATGCTTTTCATTTCATATCTGTGATTGTTATGAAGTTATAGTGAATAAATGCAACATTGCGTTCCCAGAATAATGTTATAATGTAATAACTTTGGGGCATTGTAACAAAACATGAACAAATGATTCTGTTGTTTGCAATAAGCACACACAACTTTTAATTTACATAAATGATATCTGAAAGGTACATTATAATACAGTAAAGTGCTTTGAAATGGAATTATTTAATTTTATTGTGTTTTTATTACTTTAAATTTAGATTTCAATATCTTTCTCCAGTCAAAATCGAGAAGATGGTTTTTTTTTATTGTCTTCCCAATGCCCCAATACAATTGGATTAATATTCTTGAATTTACACAATAAACTATGAAACGGTTTTGATTTCATTGTTGGCATTCTAATATAATGGTTACAATTCAACAAATAATGTTCAATATTCTAAATCATTTTATCATAAGAATCTTAGAAGAAATGATAAAACTGCATTTCTTTCTCCTGTAACTTGTAAAGAGATTATTGATATTGTTTGTTTTTTGAAAATGGATCTAGTGCCGGTCATGATGAAATCGATGTTGGTGTCATTAAAAAAGTCTTCATATAATTGCACCACAATTATGTTCTATATTTAATTCTTGTATTTCATATGGTGTATTCCCTACCCAATTAAAAATAGCAAAAGTGATCCCAGTGTTTGAATCAGGTGATGTTAGTTGTGCCAAAAATTAACGCCCAATATCTGTCTTACCTTTGTTTTCAAAGATTTTTCAGAAGGGTTTATACAAACGTTTGAATGATTTTCTATTTTCCTGTAATATTTTGTCTGATAATCAATATGGTTTCCGAACGGGACACTCCTTATCTATGGCGCTTCTTGAATTTATTCACAAAGCTTGTAAAGCTATCGATTCTAAAGAATACACGGTTGGATTGTTTCTCGATTTGAGCAAAGCCTTCGATACATCAGATCATTTTATTTTCTTGAGCAAATTGGAAGATTATGGATTTCGCGGAAATGTATTTATTATTATTTAAGAGTTATTTGTTAGACCGGTCTCCATTTGTAGTTATCAATAATCATAAATCTTCAAATAAGGGAATTCGATGCGGAATGCCCCAAGGGTCCATATTGGGTCCATACCTTTCCTTGTTAATAATATAAACGATATCATTACTTCTTCTAAACTCTTACAATTTATTCTTTTTTGCAGATGACACCAGTGTTTTCATGTCTGGAAGTAATCTGAACATGTTATTAAATACATTTACTGTCGAATTACATAAATTAAATGATTGGTTGTTAAATAATAAATTAGTTATAAATATTGATAAAACTCAATTTATGTTATTTACAAATAGAAAAGTTGAAGATGATAATTTGATTATTAATTTAAAGCTATAGTTCGAGTTTCTTTTACTAAATATCTCGGTGTTGACATTGCATGAGGACATTGGTGTCATATGTAACAGAGTTGCTAAGGGAGTTGGTATTATTTATCGATTAAGACACTTCCCAAGATATATTTTGATTATGTTGTATTATGCCCTGATAAATCCACACATTAATTATTGTAATATTACATGGTCAAATGGTTCTGTTTATTTTATGACGAAATTATTTTTATTTTTACAAAAGAAGGCTGCTCATCAATTTACGATGCCCCGTTCATTGCCAACACTTTGCCACTTTTTAAACAATTAAAGTTTCTAAATGTTAAATAATTTTGATATTGCTTTATTTATGTTTATGTGTTCCAAGTGTTTATTGCCAAGGTCCGTGTCATGTAAATTTACATTCAATTATGAAATACATTCTCATGAAACTCGTAATGCTGGTAATTTTCATTTTCCTAAAATCAGTTCAAATGTTGAAGAAATTTTTTTTTTTTTTTTAAAGGGCCAGTTTTATGGAAAAATATCCCGTTTAATATGAAAAACTCCAATTCAATGAATATTTTAAAACGATTTTATAAATCCCCTCTTTTATCATTGTGTTCAATCTCAAAATAAATGACGTTACGATTCAGTTAATGCACTTTTTAATGAATTCCCCCTCCCCTCCCCTTCTCCTTCCCCCTCTTTTTGTTCTTTCTTATTTTGTATTGTTGTTAAGGTTTTCACTGCTTTTCTTTTACTTTTTTTCTTTTCTCAACAATACAGTGTATACTTTTTAAGGGGTTGACGTTCATAAGGCTAATTGCCCATACAATTTTGTTTGCTCCTTCCCTTCGTATTTTTCTTGTAATAATTGTTTTATCTGTATACCATGTGTGTATGTTTTAATGTTTTTTTCATGAAGAATGAAATGAAATGGAATTAAATGAAATATGAAATAATAGCATCACCTGTTCTGAGTTCAATAAAGTCATTACCATAATCGTGCAAAGCACCTGTTTTTTCACCATGCTGATGGACTTCTACATGAATTCGTGTGATCCATGTTTTAGGGATTGCTTTTTTTTTTAGCTTCGAACCAAGTGCATAACAAGTTAATTTCCAGATATAAAATTTCCATTTTATATAATATCATTAATTATGAAAATCCCCTTGTTAAACCAATTTTTAAAATATATGTCAAGTTGTATATAGCTATTGTACCATCATACTTTATTTCGAACATGTTTGTACATTAAAAAAAAATCCAACATATCTAAGTTCACTCCAGGATACCATCAAATCAACATACAAATTAGGCATATTATGTTTTGAAAAAAGCATCAACAATCTTTAAGAGAACAATTTGTTTTTTAATATAAAAGACAACGGAGATATTTTGGTAATACTGAAATAGTTTACACAAATTTTGAGATTATTAGCAGTTTGATAATAACAACTTTTTCATGAATACATTTCTCATTTTCCAAAAATTAAGGATTGATTTTACTTTTTCAAATTTCATTAGAGAGGTAATTGCCCAGCTACTTGGCTGGACCATCTTTCAATTTTAATCCTTTTGTGAATTCTAATCGAGTTGACATTGTTATTGCTTTTGTTTTTCTAACATTTAAATTCGGCCCAGCATTATGATTTTTTACCATATTCCATCCAGTTTAGTCTTAACCCACCGAAAGCTCCTCTACATTTATATGTTAACGATTGATTTAATTTTATTTCAACTTTTTCCATTTTCTCTCAATTTACTTTCGATGGATTTTCGTCATTTTCATTACTAAACTGAAACTGAAAAACAAAAATTTAAAATGCTCAAAATCACTTTTTGATCAAATTAGAGTACGTTTCAGGCCATTTGCAGCATTTCAAACAATTTGTGTGCGCACACCTCTGCGCGCGCGTTTTCGTGCGTGATGGCCGTACGTAACGTAGAATCGCCATTTTCTTTCGCTAAAGTTATTGAGCATTTTTTTCCGAACAATTTGATACCATGTTTATCTCTTTATGACCATTAATAACGAAATGAGCGTCCATTCAAGATATATGTTCGTGCGTACGAGTTCTTGTAATACATAGCATATATGGACAAAAACATGCCTATACAAAATCCATTATAGCTCTTTCGGATGCCCGGTGACCCCAATTTTTTTTCTCATATTCAAATAGAGTATGTGTCGGAAAAATGATTTCATGTCTCAGTTTGCCCTTAAGTATATCATGACATCATCATATTGGTCTTAGAACTCAAAATACGAATTTGCATATTATGACTTCAGCATATTTATCGAAAATGGATTGTAACTATGTAAATATTGATCGATTTTCTTTCAAATGTCGATATGTTGTAGCTGTAACAATCCTTAACAAGATCAGCGCACACAGTTTTTAATAACAGACCACCTTAATCGTCCTCAGTGACAAATTAAATTTCTCGTTATACTTTTCATCGTCAGTACAGGTTTCATCATTATAAAGACAATAAAATGGGATTATTAACGTTTTCCTTTTCCTTCTGTAGTTTGTGGTGAAGACCAGGATAAATGTGCCCTTGTTGAAACGTGTTACGATGCAAGCGACAAATGTGATGGTATATATGACTGCCCAGTTGGTATCGATGAATTCAACTGTGAAGGTACATTGTTCAACTTTATATTTATTCTTATGTTTTAATCTTTTTTTCTTTCTTTTTTCTCGAGACGGGGATGGGGATTCATGCCACAATACTGAAGTTTGAACTATTAATATTGTCATGGTAGCTTGGCTAAATGAAGTAGCCCCCAAAATACAGTATACGAGGCAGGAGGCTGTGTTGGTGAATCTAAAAATATATTCCGACTTAAGTAATAGATTTGGTATTATTCAGCATAAACAGTCAGACTATTCTAACTTTACATCCTAATATCATAGCTCTGCCTCTATCATTTTCCTGAATATTCCCATTTGTGAGCCAGCGACAATGTTTTGGTAATATTCAATAGGATTGGATTATGAAATTCAAAATTTGTATTACCATTGTGAAACCTAGAGTTAGATTTTATGTTTTGGTTAGGATTATGTATATCTGTAGTGTTGGGTCAAGGCTGAGGTTACAAAAAAACATCATTTAGCGCAGGAAATTGACGCAGAACAATTGTTGCAGGAGCAAGTTATACAACCATCATGATAATTGGTACATAATACCAAGTACAGGTATCATACAAATTATCGGCTGACAGATGTATTTTGTCTGTTTATTGCTTACTATTATTATACGTATTATAATTTTGCGCCACCTGTGCCTTAATTGGAGGCGAAAAGCGAACTGAATCACTGTAACCCCCCTCCCGGTATAACTGAATGGGGGTTTACTACACCGGGTTTTCCCCCTACTCTTATATACGAATAGTGCAGTGTGTTCATAACATGCAAAGTATTGACTCTCCTCAGTCTACACGGGGCCTCCATTTAATTTCCAAGGGGTAGAGTGTTTTCCACCTAACATAGCCTGCATTAATGAAACAGGACGGGCACATTAACACACAACGCAAGCTCTCAGTCATCCGCCTAGGTTGGATTCGAACCCACTTTCTTTGGTTTTACATGCAGAGGCTTTACCGATTGAGCCAACTCACCTCCTCGCCTTACTACTTCCTTAATAAGTGTAGTTTAAACATTGTATAAGCTGTTAATTCTTTTAACTATGCACCAATTCTTTGATAGTTTAACAAATTGATGTAAAGCACTTTATTTGTATGAAGCACTATAGAAATGAAATTTATTATCACTATTATTATTTTCATCAATTTCGATGATATTATCATTACTATTTTTGTTAATATTTATGTAAGTATTACTGTCATTATTATTATTCCTATCCGTCTTCAAATTAGTATTATTATTATTGTTTATTATTATTATCATTATGTACAGGATGTTTCGCCTGTAGTGATAGCTCCGACTGCCTGAATGATGTTCGGGTTTGTGACTTCTATAAAGAATGCCCAGGAGGGGAAGATGAGTCTGAGAGTCTCTGCAAACATTCTGAATTCATCAGTAAGTCTCTGATAGCGACTAACTTTATTTAACAATAACCTGCCTTTAGAGACCACTAATATATATATAGAGAGGGAGAGATAGATAAGCATGATAGAGGGAGAGAGAGATAAGCATGATAGAGGGAGAAAGGAAGGGAGAAAGCTAGTTGTTATATATTACCAATACTGGGTCATTTTGCTTTGTTCGAACTTTCATTTTAGTCTTCATGTAAATTTTGATTGACTTTTGGACATGTATATTTCCTACTTCACATTTTCTATCAGGCAGAGCTGCAAGGCTCTGTCCAAATTTTGACGAGAAAAACGAAATGGGGGTCACGATATCCCACCTGAATTACATTGGTTCCTGTGTAATAGTGGTGGCATATATTTTTAACGAGAGCTTTTTGTAATGTAAAGGTTCGTTATAAAATCAAAGAAGAGAATGTACATCATTGATATGTTTTGCTTTAATTGTCTCTGCCCTTTTTAGAGAATGTTCAGGTACCAACTGGAGACTGGGTGACTATTGACCAACGCTCTGGTGGTGATGAGAATCGCAACACCCCAGCAAGCTACTTCAAAAAGTTCACACACTATGTATTTCAGGGCGAACCAGGTACAACCCTTTTCATGGAGTTACTGGATGTTACCTGGTCTGATGGCCCGCTAGTCTCCTTGTTTGAAATCTCTGCTGGTGCTGGAGACGATCCCACAAACGCAGCAGATATTACTTATTACTTGGCACATGGAGGTAACGAAGCAAGCATTAGCAACTCTAGGAACAATTCTCTCAAGAGCAACACAGGTTTTGCTATGATCAATTTCCCCAAAGGCATACATGCTTCTGTCCAGCTACGGGTCACAGCCATAGGTAAGAACCTTGCACTCTTTTCTGGTGGCTTCTATGGAATGTGTCCTGTACATTTATCCTTATATTCTGCGCAATGTGTTATGTAGCTGACTACCCCTTAACCCCTTGACTACTGAATTCTCTGATGCCCATTGGCTTAATACAGGGACAACGCATACGGATGAAGCCCCGCCGCTCACTGACTTTTTCCTTTCGAGCCTTGGGCATCTTTTAAAAGAATTTGTTTGAAAATCGAACGTATACAATTACAAAGTCACGTGACCTTTTGTCTTTGCATGTCAGCCCGAAAATCGCTCATTTCGTGATTTGTGTAAAAACATATGGAAATATCATTTTTTCTAAAAAGAGATAAAACATTTGTTCTTTGGTCTTGTTTAAAGTTTAGGTTTTTGTTTTGGAGGTCAAAATAGTAGACTGTAGTTAGAAATCAAATAAAACAACCAAAACAATAAAATACATAAGTAAAAACAAAACAATGAAATACATAAGAAATTATCAAAACAACAGGTAACATAAGGAATAACCTGGCTCTTCCAATTTTTTTTGGTCATATTATTTTTCCATATGGTCTAATGAATTATGTAGTGAGGAAAAAAAATGGTTAAATATGAAGAATATATGATTTATGGTAAAAATGTTAATTTTATGAACTTATTTGCATAAACTAATACAAATATGCAAATGAGTGAATTTTTCCAAAAATTGAATTTACTGTAGTATTCTATACATTTTACTTGACATGCATCCAATTTTCGCGGCGATCGGCCGTTTCACATAATGCCCCCCAGACAGAAGCAGTCTTCTTCATGTTTTTCCCATTTTTTAACTACCAAATTTCCTCAAGGTGAGGTCCACGAGAACCCAACAAGCATGTGACTTACTTGATCTTTTCTTAAAAGCTTTCATGGGGTACTAGGTGGACATAGTTTCCATAGATTCAACGATTCCTTAAAGTTTGGGATGCATCCACATGTCATTTCTTGTTTGCTTTTCTTTTTAAGCATGCGAGAGCCCTGAGAGTCTATGTTTTGGATCTCCCCACTGCATGGACAGGGCCAAGGACATGTGCAATGGGAAATACGATTGTGTCTACAGTCAAGAAGATGAATTGAAATGTGACGGCGGTAAGGCTGATGACAATGATGTGATGGCCATTATGATTGTGATGATGATGATGTAATGACTGTGATGCGATAATAATGATGGTGATGATGGTGGTGACGGTGATTATGATAGTGATGATGGTGTTGGTGAATGATGATGATGATGATGTTGTTGATGATGGTAATGGTAGTAATGATATGATTACAATTGTGACAGAAAAGCCTCATTAATATAACTATGTGCAGCCTCATTCACATTCCTGTATGTTGTAGTAGACAGCCACGACACAATGAACACACCTGTTAAAAAAGTACCATGGTTTTATCATCGTTTTAGTAAACAGCCAAGACACAATAAACAAACCTATTAAAAAAATACGATGGTTTTACCATCGTTTTAATAAACAGCCAGGACACAATAAGCATACCCTTATAAAAGCAAGTACCATGGTTTTACCATCGTTGTAGTAAACAGCCAGGACACAATAAGCAGACTCTTATAAAAACAAGTACCATGGTTTTACCATCGTTGTAGTAAACAGCCAGGGCACACTAAGCATAACTTTATAAAGTACCATGGTTTCACCATCGTTGTAGTAAACAGCCAGGACACAATAAACAAACCTATTAAAAAATACCATGGTCTTACCATCGTTTTAGTAAACAGCCAGGGCACAATAAGCATATCATTATAAAAACAAGTACCATGGTTTTATCATCGTTGTAGTAAACAGCCAGGACACAATAAGCATACTCTTATAAAAACAGCACCATAGTTAGCATGCTGGTACCTATGGTTGATGGTAAGTTGAACCAAGAACTAAGAACCAAGGTAGTAAGTAGCATATGGTATATACTGCGATTTACATTTATGTAGCTCTTAACGCATGGATTAGTGAGTACATGCAAGACCTTTGTTGACTGAGAAACTTTTTTTTCACCCTCTCTCGCCATTTACAGTTAGTACTAACAAGTAAAATTCAAAACTGCGGAAGTTGTGTAAAATAAACAAAAATACATCACCCTAAAAAGCATTTCACATATATCAGAAGTATAGTTGCAAGGAACAATTCCTTTGCATACCCACTTATCGCCTTGCATGGAATTAGATGTACATGTATAATATAGAAAAGTGAATGGTACATACCCTTTTAGTCATTTCTTTGCCATGATGGTGTTTTTGATAAGATGGTGTATACCGGCCATCTCCTTTGAATGAGTTCCAAGATAAGTAATTGTGATGATGATTTTATTGGTAATATTGTTAATTTTATTAGGTGGTTTGTTGTCAACAGACCACGTATTTATTTCGTCAGAAATTTCTTTCTTTCTTTCTTTTATTATTTATTAGGTGGTCTGTCGTCTTCGACAGATCACCTATTGTTTTCGTCAGAATTTTCTTTCTTTATTTCTTTATTTATTCTTTATTAGGTGGTCTGTTGTCTACGACAGATCACCTATTGTTTTCGTCAGAATTTTCTTTCTTTCTTTATTTATTTATTTATTTATTAGGTGGTCTGTCAACGACAGATCACCTATTGTTTTCGTCAGAATTTTCTTTCTTTATTATTTGTTCCCTCTTGAAACGCCGAAGATACCACGGTGCGTGCAGCTGAATGTACAATGGCGTCTTATTTTGTGTACAAGCGACAGATTCCTTTATTTTTGTATCGCTGCATTCGTCATCAAAATAAAACCATGCGCGGGGTTTAGAGTGAGGCAATAGATTATACATTTAGCCTGACGGTAGTGAAGTCCGTGCATGTTTGTTGGGTAAAAGTTTACCCAGGCGCGGATCCAGGATTTTTTTATGGGGGGGGGGGGGGCAAACTTGAAATTATGCGAGCCAAATTAAATTCCATTCAATTATAGAGACAGAATACGTATTAAGTCCCACCCCCCTCCCGCGCGAATGAGGGGGGGGGGGTGGGTGCAGTGAGGGGCGAGTTTCCCCTCCCTCCTCCGCGAAACGCGGAAACTTTGACGTTTCGTTAAATCATTAGAGAAACAAGACAATTCGTCGTACAGTTCTCGACTCTTAATCCTCGTCTGAATTCAATTTTCCCCTCCTGCGCGAAGCGCGGAAGCTTTTAAGTTTCATAAAATCATTATAGAAACAAGATAATTCCCTGTACAGTTCTCGTCTCTTAATCCTCGTCTGAATTCAGGTTCTCCCCTACCGCGCGAAGCGCGAAACCTTTTAAGTTTCATCAAATCATAAGAGAAAGAAGACGTATTTAATTCCCCCCCCCCTCCCGCGTAAAGCGCGGCAGCTTTTACGTTTCATTAAATCATTAGAGAAACAAGACGATTCGCTGTACAGTTCTCGACTCTTAAAGGGATCCGGTAACTTTGTCTCAAATTCTGAAACAAAATTCTGGATTAAGCTCATGATGCAATGATAATTATAAACCTTTAGGTCAGTCAGGAACCCCATGAAATTTACAAGCCGATCGCCTGTCTGATTATCAAGATATTTATGATTGGAATTACAAATTTTGAAAACCGTTCGCCTGACGGTTTTCATAACACTACAGTCTATTGGGAAAACGAGTATGGTAAAACCGGTCACTCAAAGATTTTTACTTTTTTGAGGCACTTCTTGATCATTTTGAAGCGCAATTTTTTTAGGGCTTCAATATTACACCATATCACAGACACTGATAACACGTAGGGCCGTGCATCTCAGATTTAACATTGTTAAACGATCCCTTTAATCCTCGTCTGATTCAGGTTCACCCCTCCCGCGCGAAACGCAGAAGATTATACGTTTCATTAAATCATTAGAGAAACAAGACGATTCGTTGTACCGTTTTCTACTCTTACTTTTCTACTCTTACTTTTCTACTCTTACGCCCCCACCGCCCCCACCGCCCCCCCCCCCCCCCCCCCCCCCCCCCCCCCCCCCCCCTTGGCTTCGCGCCTGCGGTCAGATAAACACATTTTGATACCTTGTCCGACCCCGGAAGCTATTTATTTATTTATTTATTTATCATTTTATTTATTAAAACATCTTTTAACAGGATAACATTAATCAGCTCGCAGGCTGTTTTACATAATGGTCCTGCATAAGGATGGAAAATACAGATACAGACTGACATTAAGAGTAGTTACAAACAAAATAGCAGTTTTATACAAATGGTAAAAAAACGAAAACAACACAAATGGGAAAAAATAGGCTTAGGGAAAACGAAAAGAGGAGACAAAATATAAAATAATGCAATATGACATTTAGATTATGACATTTTACATTAGAATTATATACAACAATGAAGTTAATAAATATTTTATGTCGAGATTAAGCCCAATGAGTTGTAAATATGGTTTATATTGCATAATTATAAAAAAAAATGAATATCAAATTTAGGACGTAATGTAGGTATTTGAAATTTCTAGGTAATTGGGTTAGCAATCATTATAGGTTGTTGCATATAATGTTGTAGTAGTGAGGAGAAACGGCAGTGAACAAATTTTATCCATTAAAGGAATATTTTTTATATTGATATTTAAAACTCTCTACTGAATTGGCATTTTGGATATCATTGGGAAGCTTATTCCAATTAACCGCTCCAGCATACTTAAAAGATTGTTTGAATAAGGTTACGTTGGGTTTTGGCAATACTACATTAAGGGAGTTTGCATTTCTTGTGTTTAGGCCATGGCGGTCGAAATACATTTCTATTTCATTTGATAAACGAGGTGGAGCAATGCCCCTTATACATTTAAACATAAGCATAGCCAGAAAATAATCACGGCGCTGATCAATAGTTTGCCAGGACAGTTTTTTTATCAATGTGTTGCCGCTTGCAAGTTCATAGTCAAAGATACCAGTTACATATCTAGCAGCTCTTTTCTGTAATCTCTGAAGGGGCAGCTTGTAGCTGGCTGGGCAATTCCCCCATACAGATATTGCATAGTCTATACAGGGTTGGATTACACACTTATAAAGGGTGTTCAATAGTTCTGGGATTACGAATTTACTCAGCTTTCCTAGAGAATAGATTTTATAGGCAATAGATTTACATAAGTCTCTTAAGTATACATTCCACTTCAAATTTTCATCAATCACTATACCTAAATATCTAATAGATTTTACCTGTTCGATCAGTTCATCTTTTATGTATATATTTAATACTTCAGAGGATCTTAATTTTATTAACATTGTTTTGGTTTTACTTGTGTTAATGCGTAATCGATTTTGTTTATACCAATTATTAAGAGCATTAATATCTTTTTGTAATTTCTTTGTAACATCATCTATCTTACTATCTGCAACAGTGACTACAACATCATCTGCAAATATGTTGCAGACGCCTTCAGTTATACATTCAGAAATATCATTTATGAATATAAGAAACAAAATGGGGGCCAGGACACTGCCCTGTGGTACTCCGATAGAAAGCTCTCTTGTATCAGATAATTTTCCTTTGGAGTATACCACTTGCTTCCTATTACTTAAGTAGTTTTTGAACCATTTGAGCCTGTTTTCATTTATTCCATATTTTTCAAGTTTGAATAGGAGAAGCTCGTGATCAACACAATCAAAACATTTAGAGATGTCTAGAAAGCATGCACCGACCATTTCTTTCGTATTTAAGGCTTCGTAGAAGTCATCTATGACACGATGTAAGCATGTTACAGTTGAATGGTTTGGAAGAAAGGCGTATTGATCGACATTAATCATATCATGTTTTTGAAGGTAGGAAAGTAACTGTAATTGTACTTCCTTTTCTATAATTTTGGGAATATGACTAGCAACCGAAATTGGTCGATAATTTGTTTTTTCATTTTTTGAGCCTTTTCCTTTGAAAATCGGTGTGGTACGTGCAATCTTCCAATCATCAGGTACTATTCCCGTATCCTGACTTGCATTAAAGATGGCACATAGGGATTGAGCAATATATGGTGCAGCTAATTTGAGTAATTTAGTGTCAAAGTCTAAGACATCTAAATTGCTATTTGAAGCTAAGTTAGTTAAATGTTTTAGAATCTTGGAACTAACAATTGGTTGAAAATAAAATTCATAAATACAATGTGGATGATTCCATTTCGGTTTTTTCTTTAACAAATGATCTAGAGATATTGTTACCTGTATTAATAAAAAAATCGTTCATTTCATTCAATATTACAGCTCTGGTCCTTAGACTTTGTCACTCCAGAAATCTTATTCAATTCTGTCCATAATTTCTTCGAATTATTCTTATGTTTATTATGTACATCCCGAAAATATTCCTGTTTTTGTTTTCGTATGATACAGATAATATGGTTTTTTAGTTTTTTATACTTTTTATCAAAATCATTTCGAATTTCTTGTTCAGGAGAAGACACGGACTTTCTTTTAAGAAAATCTCTGGTGTACATAAGTTTTACAATTTCGGGAGTCATCCAAGGACAAAATCTGTCTTTTACCCTAGTTGTCTTGATAGGTGCATGTTCGTTACTTATTTTCAAAAATGTTTCTTTCCAAGTATTCCATGTTACTTCGATTGGAACATCGTTAGTTAATTGAAATATTTCAGCTGATTTTATAGAAGCAATAAATCGATTTTCATCAAATGATTTATAATCACGAAAACGACGAGTTTTATGTTGCTTCCTTTCCAGGATAGTGTTAATACAAGTATAAATCATCTAATGGTCACTCATGGAAATTTGTGCAACATCACATATAATGTGCTTCTGGGGAATTGAACTTAACAAATGGTCTATACAAGTTGACGATGAAGTAGTTACCCTTGTTGGTTTATTTATCATTTGTGTTAACAGGAAAAGATTTTCTATGAGATTAATTTGGTTTTCATGGAGTGATTCGTCCATTTTATAATCAATATTCAAGTCCCCTAATATCAGTAGATCAGATGGTTCATCAGTTGCTTTTTCAAATGCATCTAGCATGTTATTAAAGTACTCAATATTCGAGTCAGGTGGTCTGTACAGGCAACATAATAATAGTTTCTCAGATGAGGGTAACATTAACTCAATCCATATTGCCTCCAATGAGGTATCACTGAGATCATAACGTTCAATACACGATAATGTGTTTTTTGCATAAATACAAACGCCGCCTCCACGGCGACCATCTGATCTATCCCGCCGGAATAGTGTATATCCGTCTATTGAGATCAGATTATCACTTGTAGTTTGAGATAGCCATGTTTCTGAAATACACAGTATGTCAAGGTTAATTTTCATCAAAAGAAATCGCAATTCATCCAATTTTCTATACATACTACAAACATTTAAGTGAGCTAATTTTAGGCCGTTGCATTTTTTAAGTTTTTGAACACAAATATCATATTCGTTGTCGTCGGATATTGAAGAATTGTTTGAGTCCGAGCTAGCTGTATCATCGTCATTAGTGAATTCATTTATTGGAGTTTTGGATGGTTCATTTCGCTTATTCTGTTCAATGTCTTCCAAGAGATGTTGGTTTTCAGGGAAAAGCACTAATCTCTGCGACTGTTGAGGAGTCTCCGGGCTGTTAGTAAACAATCTAGCCAGTCTCGTGGGAAAACACGGTCGGACGCTTTCTTGCGGAATTTCGCTTTGCTCGTCATCTGAAAAGACGTAGCATCAGGATATTGAGATTGGAGCCAAGGATGTTTGTTATCCAAACTAGCCGGATCACAAACAGAAGCAGTGGCTGATGGAAACTGGTCACGATGAAACGCAGGGCGGGATCCTCGAAGATATGCGATGATATTCTGTGCCAATACACGTACTCCGTAGCCATTTAAGTGTACGCCATCAGCGGCGAGATGTGTGTCAGGAGTGATGTTTTCATTGTCCACGACTCCCCAGCTGCAGCGATTGGCTAGAAGTTTCAACATTTCATTTACACTGCGCACTTTCTCGAAAACGCTTGCTGATTCTCCGCGACGATGGATTATTGTCGAGACACTTATTTTCTTGGCCGGTGTCACTTTGACAATTTGTTCTGCCAGGGACACAAGTTTTGCGACAATTTCATCTGCGTCGTGTGAAGTGACATCGTTCGAACCTAGATGAAGGATTACTTCTTTAGCGTTTTGCTGAATAGCTTGCTCACAAACAATGTCACAAACATCTCCAATACGAGCGCCTCTGAATGTTTTGCACTTAACGGGTCTTCTTGATAGCCTCGAAGGGTTGATGTCCTTTACCATGGAATCACCAACAATCAAAACATCGGTTGAATGGGCATTCTGAGTGACCATTGATGCTCTCAGGAGCTGATGTTTTGCTTTGTAGTCTCGTAATTGATCATCTATTGTAAGGCTATTAGGTTCATTACAATGCTGATCTTTCTCTGTGCTTGCATCGGAATCGATTTGAGCTTCATCTGTTGTCGTCTGATTAGCTGATTTAGAGCCTTTTGTTGACGAGATGATGCCATTGACGGTTTCATTCAAAACCTGGAGTTGGTTTTGAACAGATTCCAAAGTAGTTGTGATAGTACCACAGGTCTTGCAATTGTTTTCATTCTGATTATCTTCAATCCTCCCTTCTTCTCTTTGATTAGATTTGTTTGGGACGCCTTGGCGGGAAAATTGGGGGTTATCCGCGCCATCTTGGGCCTGTGTATCACTTGGTACCGGGTATTCATATATGGTAACAAAATGCTCACAGATAAACTTGTCAAGATGAGGTAAAATATGACACAATAAATCTGTAACATAGTCTATACGGTTTTCTCCACCGTGTTTTCCATAGCGTTCGTATGAAATGTGAAGATGTTGTATGGCTATACGTAGACCAACAGTAGTTATATATTTCGGAAGTTTGTAACGAAAACTCTCAGCTCCTGGATTGCCAGAGTGGGTATTCGACTTTAATTGTGTCATTGCGTCCTACAGTGTTGATATACTAGTACATAGTCTCTCAATAAAAGTCTTTTAAGAAAATACAGTGATCACAATGTACATGCATATAAGCTCACCCCATCATAAAATGTCACAGGTGGGACCAAGACTCTAGTCCGGCATCAAACTGTCTATATGCACCAGGTTCACAACATCACAAATTGCACAAGAAAACACAAAATAACAGTAGTACATCTGCATCCAAGTTAGTTTGGCGTTTCCACGGCGATATTTCACTTTGCGAAACAATATAACAGTATATAAATATACGGAATATAGCAGAATATAGCAGGAGTATAACAGACGTGCGTGCGTGATCGATGGGGGTTTAAGGCAATAAATTACGGTCAGATAAGCATTCAGGGGCCCGCCTTAGGGCCCCTGGTTGGGTCGAGGCAGTGGAGCCCCCGGAAGCTCAGGGGTTTTAGGCGTTTAACTAATTGTCAGATGAGCTTTTTTTTTTTATACCTCATTATTTTGTGACACTGGCAGGACACTTTTTGGCGTGGGATCCAGGGGGCAAAGCCCAAAATAAATCGGGGGTTTTGGGCAATAAATTACCGTCAGATGAGCATATTTTGATGCCTCATTATTTTTTGACACTGGCAGTTAACTATTGTTTCTTTCCTGCTCTCTTTCTTTTTTATTTCTCTTTAATATACTTTTTCAAAAAAAAGTGGGGAGGGGGGGGGGGCTCGAGGCTTCCGATCCCCGCCGTTCCTCAGGCCCTGACATGTAGGAATCTCAAGAATCATATTTCTTGCCTGGCTGTTAATTCGGAATTAACACATACAAAACTATAATTTACTAAAAAGTCAGGTAATTATGTCATTTCAGCATTATTTGTAATCCACCGTTATGGAATTAGAAATAAACCACGTTTGAATTTGATTTCCCCAAGCCCCCCCCCCCTATCAGTACGCCAGTATCCCCTCTTTTCCTTTTTTCTTTCCCCTTCCTTCTCTCTTATTTTTTTTATTGGGGGGGGGGGGGCAACAACCTGGGAGGCAAGGCCCTTTCTGCCCCCCGAACTCCTTCTTCCCCCTTTTCTTTTCTTCTTCTTTCTCTTCTTTCTTTCCCTTTCTCTCCTCTTTCCCTTTCCCTTCTTTTCCTTTCTTCTCTCTTTTTTTTTTTTTTGCGGGGGGGGGGGGCCAAGGCCCGCTCGGCCCCCCCCCCTGGATCCTTGCCTGAGTTTACCAACACTGCGTAACCAATTTCGGGTATATTCCCATTTTTACCCCTTATGTGCAAAGTTGTATCTAATTCTAAACTGCGCTTGACTAAGAGTGCACATAATTATACACCTCTTCATTTTCCCACTAGCAGAATCACAACATGTCACATTCGACTAATCTTTCCGAAATGCAATCGGGTGCATGCACCTTGTTAGGATACATGAAACAAAACCTGAGAAACAAATTGATATTTAATCAACTCTTATACTTCTTCTTGACTTTTATTTCACCAGCATCGTAATGCTCCATGTAAAAGTTTCATCGAGAAGTTCGGGAAGCAGACTAGCTGGATCTTCTCCATGTGGTCAGACGACATCTCCGTTTACTGAGACTTTTGTCAAATTAATGCGAAAACAAAAATAATTGGTGATCAGTCATCACTGATCTTAATTAGATATAAAAAGTGCAATAAATATATATAATACAATTTGTATCTCGTTTCAAAGTAAAGTATCGATATGCTTACATGTAGCCCAATATAATTTTTTTTAGGGCAGTTTAGCCAATGCACTAGAACATTTGATTGGTTGATATTAGCGTACGATCTTGTACATGACTGTGCTTCATAATTATGTAAAGGAAACGTGGAAAGGGAACCATTGAGGTGTATACATTAAGGGAGTGTATCATGACGAGAATAATCTTTCCCGTGGCCCTACTCGGAGCCCATCGGGTATAATACGACTACGGACAGGGGCGGATCCAGGAATTTCTTGCCGGGGGGGGGGGGGGGCACAAGGGGGGGGGGTGGGTAAGGTCATATTTTTAGGTCAGCCATTGGCATAAATAAAAAAAAATTATCATTTTGGGGGGGGGGGGGCGGGGGGCACGCCCCTGTTTTTCAGTACATTTTTCCCCTTTAATAGCAGCTGGTTCATGCCCTGGTTATATCTCGCATAGATTTTTGCAATAGTTTACTATATTCTCTTCCTGATGTTCACACCAATAAATTACAAAGAATTCAAAACTAAGCAGCCAGACTAATTACTAGAACTAAACGCAGAGAACATATTACACCCATACTTAAACAATTGCACTGACTGCCATTGAAGTCCCGTATTAATTATAAAATCCTTTTACTGACATGTCAATGCCTAAACGGTACAGCCCCGTCTTAACTCCAAGATCTCATTCTACAATATACCCCTCCAAGAAAATTAAGATCAAATAGTAAATCCCTCCTGGTAGCTCCAAGCACTCAAACAAAATATTATGGCACTCGCTCTTTCAGAAATTCTTCGGCCGAATGGTGGAACAGCTTGCCTGATATTGTCAAACAGGCAAGCACAACATAATCATTTAAGACTCTGTTGAAGACCTATCTTTTTGTAAATTGTTAATTTTGATCCAGCTGTTTAGTGACTTCTTTGGTTATAGTCAAATGTACATATATCTAATTTCATTTTCATTTCACTTTCATGTTTAAATTTGTATTACCTGAATGTACAATCTATTACATGTAAGCTATATAGGAATTGTGTATCATTATTGTTGTTTGTAATTAATTATTTTCATGTATCACGTTTTTCTAAGCGCATAGGGACTTTGTGTTAGTGATATGCGCTATACAAATAACGTACATTATTATTATTATTATTATCTAAACAGTACGTTCCGATTGTAAATTCTCAAATTTTTAATCAGCTGCTTTATTCTCTGACACGGTGAGCACAAAACAGTCTCATTAAATGGAATGACGTAATAATTCCTCCTCGTGATATTTACTTTTGTTCATGTCGTGAGTTGGGTGATTACGAAAACAACAAAAAGAGAGAGAGAGAGAGAGAGAGAGAAAGAGACTGAGAGAGAGAGAGAGAGAAAGAGAGAGAGAGAGAGAGAGAGAGAGAGTGGGATAGTGGGGTGGAGAGATAGACAGGGAGCAGGCATATCAGAGAGGTACGAGAGAGAGAGAGATGGAGCAAGCGTGTATAGAGGAGGATACAAGTGACAGAGAGAGAGAGAGAGAGAGAGAGAGACAGACAGAGAGGGAGAAAAAAGAGGGGGAAGTGATAGACATGGAGCAGGCATATTAATAGAGAGAGATAGAGATTGGAGCAAGCCTCTATATAGGATACGAGAGAGAGAGACGGTGGAGAGATAGACAGGGTGCAGGCATATCAGAGAGAGAGAGAGAGAGAGAGAGAGAGAGATGGAGCAAGCGTGTATAGAGGAGGATACAAGTGACAGAGAGAGAGAGAGAGAGAGGGTTTTCCCATGTAAACTTGTTGCCAATTTTTGGTAAAGTTGTTGCCTGTGAATGGTAAAGTTGTTGCAAAAATGGTAAATGTGTTGCTTTTTTTACCGATTTGGTAAAGTTGTTGCCCAAAGCAACAACTTTCCATATGAAAATTGGTAAATGTGTTGTCATCACCATTGACAATACACACGAGCCTGCTCCTGCGTGTATTATCGCATAGACTTTAAAAGAGACTACCAAGGCGCTTGATGGATGCGCATGCTGCATGCATGGAGTCCTACATATATACATGTATGTACAGTTTGACAGAATGATGGTGTTATGGGTGAGTAATTATACTTGTTGCCTTATCATCTTTGTTGTATTGATTATCTTGACTAATTGATTGCCACTGTGACTGTGACTGTGCTGTCGTAGAACGGTTAGTTATAACACTAGTAACAGTAAGATCAAGTAATGTGTACAACTACAAGTCAATGTTAATTAAATCAGGGTAGGCCTAGCCGCCTACATACATTATTGTATGTATCTTCAATAAATTAGCCCTAGGCCTACATCATGTACATGATGTACATGTCAGATCATGCAGGTACTAATATACTATAAATACTAGTACTATAACTGTTGTTTAGTGTTACTGTGTTGTTTGATTTGGACTAGTGTAATGTTAGGTTTGTGTATACTGTAGTATCTGTAGAGGGTCTAGACAAGGACAGGTACCTAATTTATAGAATGTTATTAAGAAGAAATCACTGGGGGAACGAACAGCTAGCAGCTACATCATTAGACGGGGTCCAGACAACTCGCCACAAAGACATCTCAACCCTGGACAACTCGACACAATACCCTGGACATCTCGCCACAATACTCTGGACAACTCGCCATGGTCGAGTTGTCCAGGGTATTGTGGCGAGATGTCCAGGGTATTGTGTCGAGTTTTCCAAGGGCGAGCTGTCTTTAGGGCGAGTTGTCTGGGATTACTATAGGCTAGATCTACATAACATTAGTACTGATTTAGTCTTATTTCAGTAATTATATTCACATACTACAACCCTTGAAAATGTTTCCATCATGTCATAAATCCCGAACATATGCACTGGCGTAGCTAGAGTCAGAAGTTGAGGGGGGACTAGCTGGCATCATACGGGGGCACAGGTCTAGTCAGAAAATTGAATGCAAATTTACGATCAGGGGGGAAGGGGTCTAATCGTCTTCTTTTATCTTCCTTTTCCTTTCCCCTTCTTTTTTTCTCTCTTTTTCTTTTTTCTTTCCCTTTTTTTCATTATTCGATCGGAGGGGGGGGGGGGGGGGGAGGGCCTCAATCGCCTACATGTATGTATTCTAATAATAGATGCACAGACAAAGGGCTCCCCATCATACAACTACAAGACTGAAGCTTTGGTCGAGTGGGGGGGGGGGGGGGGGGGGTCCATGGCAGTTTCTAAGGTTAAAAACTAATTTTTAAAAAGCCAACCAATCTTGTGTTTTCAGCAAATTTCTTTCACAGTACTGGTACTTTGGTTTGTTATACATCCTGATGTGGATAGTTGTGAAATTTAGAACGATAAATATCAACAATTCAAATTTTCAAGTCCATATTGTTTTGATGCTCGTGTATGGGCAAGTCCAAGGTATTTGGTAATTTTGTGTCATATGTGTTTCATAAGTTATTCTGTAAATATTGAATCAGAATCAAATTAGACTTTGCTTGGGTAAGCAGAGCAAGTACGTTTTGAAAAGACTTTACATTTTTACATTTTAAAAACTGTATTTTTCCACTATTTGTTAGTCGCTTCTAAGAATGAAATTTCAAATCAACCCCCCAAAAACTTCCCAAAACTAATTGTGGGGGAGGGGGCAGAGGGCCAATTGGCTCTGCTGGTTAATATAGCAGCCCTTTTACGTACCCCTTGTTTTGCAGGGGTGATCTACAGGGGTAACCTCGCTATTCATAAAACGGAAAAGGGGTCACTATTCATAAAGGTATGATTATTTATAAGGACCGCTATTCATAATGTGAGATGAGGGCAGCTATTCATAATTCACATTAAGGGTCATTACATAGTATACAAATAATGAATGGTTATGAGTTCAATAGTGCGAATATGTTCATGAGTTGAAAGATTAACATTCTATTCAACGAGGCGTCAGCCGAGTTGAATAGAATTAACGTTAATCTTTCAACGAATGAAAATATTTGCACTATTAAACGAATGAAAAACATTCATTATTTGTTTTATACAACATCGAAGAAGACCTAATAGAACGTTAATCAACAAATTATGCTTTACTCCTTATAAAGATAAATTAAAGTTCGAGTCAAGCCTTTTCGATTACATGCAGATTGCCTTCGCGTCAGATACACGCAGGGATACGCGCACTATTCATAACACGTATGAGAAGAGGGTTGCTATCCATAATACGAGAAGAGGGTCGCTATTCAATTCTATGAGAAGAGGGTTGCTATTCATAATACGAGAAGAGGTCGCTATTCAATTCTATGAGAAGGGGTTGCTATTCATAATACTAGAAGAGGGTCGCTATTCAATTCTATGAGAAGAGGGTTGCTATTCATAATACTAGAAGAGGGTCGCTATTCAATTCTATGAGAAGAGGGTTGCTATTCATAATACGAGAAGAGGTCGCTATTCAATTCTATGAGAAGGGGTTGCTATTCATAATACGAGAAGAGGGTCGCTATTCAATTCTACATGTATGAGAAGAGGGTTGCTATTCATAATACGAGAAGAGGGTCGCTATTCAATTATATGAGAAGAGGGTTGCTACATGTATTCATAAACATGAGGAAGGTGCGCTATTTATAATACGAGGAGAGGGTCGCTATTCATAATATGAGAAGAGGGTCGCTATTCATAATATGAGAAGAGGGTCGCTATTCATAATATGAGAAGAGGGTGGCTATTCATAATACAAGAAGAGGGTGGCTATTCATAATACGAGAAGAGGGTAACTATTCATAATATGAGAAGAGGGTCGCTATTCATAATACGAGAAGAGGGTGGCGATTTATAATACGAGATTATCAAGATTTTTAGCCAAATAAGATATGATTTTGTGACCGTCATGCCATATGCAATCAGTGCTGGCGTCCCCTGTATTATGTCTTTCTTTAAAGGTAAAGACCAGTAATGGTCATGCGATTGCATTGTTAAAGAAACGTTGTGGAATCGATCAGAAAAGGTTGATCATCTAGCATCTAGCATCTCCAAGGTTCTGGAATCATCAAAATGATAGGAAATTTGGCCCATTCGTCGTAAAGTTACAAGCACTATACACAGAAAGATGTATATGGGACTACCCTTTATCTCTCACCAGACCATGAGAGAAACAAATTTACCAAATATATGAATTAGTAGGCGGTTTCCCGGCAAATTTTTTATCATCATGTATTAGTCAAAACATATTCTTTCACATGATTGGTAATGAGAGCTTCCATTTCATTTTTTGAAATTGGGGCGTTTCCAATACTGGTCTTTACCTTTAAAAGTATATATTACCTTTTATCCTTGATAATTATATAGAGACATCCTCATAACCTAGCTAATATATTTGCCCCACTTCTGTGATGACAAAAATAAAGTAAAGCATAACAACTTATCCTATCATAATTTGTCCCCATTGTGAGAAATCTTGCCCCACCACTCTGCCCCTTACTGATCTTATCCTGGCTACGCCACTGAGACATTAAGTAGAACAAGCAGGCCCATGCTATTTTAGAAACTAGTAATTGTTTATACAGCAATGTTTTAGTAGGAAATGGTTTTTAATAGGACCTATGGACGTACAAATTATATAGCCTTAGCCATATGTCATATCCAGTGCCAAAAGTCAAGGACAGGCACCCAGAAGCTTTTCAATTTTCGCCAATGTAGAGTTTCAAGATTTTCAATACATACACCTGTACCTCAGGATACTAGTACCGGTAATCATACTAATTAACCTAACTCTATTCATCCACAATCTTGATTTCCTGAAACTTTCCTAACACCAAAAACATTAGGAGTTGGACTGGACCAGAAGCTAAGTAATTCCCTGTAGAGAGGCGGGGAGGGGGGGGGGCACTTTGATATTGTGTTTTGTTTGGGGAAAAGGGGGCTTGAACACTTTTGGACCTTTGAGGTTTTTCGCAGTAATGCAATCTGAATATAAACCAAACATTTACTGTCTTTTTTTGTTGGGTGGGGGTGGTGATGATGATGGGTAAGGAGGTCTGATATAAGGTCTAGTTCAACAACAACAACAACAAAAATATGTGAGAAATTTGGTTATGTTATTATTTTGGGGGTGGGATATCTAGCCCTTGTAGCAACAAGGGGGCAGGATATAATGATAAATACAGAACAAAAACAGGAAAAATATGGAATGTAAATACAAATATGCGTGCAGGTTCAGAAAAAGTTTAACATTAATCAATTTGAGACATGATAAATTCAAAGCAAACACGGAAAATACACGCAATAATTAATCAAATCCATTTCTGCATGCATTCTGGTTCACACACGATATATAAAGAATCAATAACTTTAAACAGCCAAACCAAAATATAAAATTACAATAAAGTGAACAAACCAAACGAGGTCGACATAAATTGTCATGAAACAAGATAGATAATTGCAGAACAAACACATCATTACATATGAAATATCCCCAGCCCCCTGCCCTTTATGCCAATGATGACAACTCGGACATTCAGATGTCAGACATTTATATTTATTTCCGGGGGGCTGATTGATGATTGGGGGCCCGGGATGATGGGTTGTTTAGATTACTGGGGCATGCCTTTTTTCTTTAATTGTTCAGAAATGTATGTTTTCAATATAAGTTTTCAACAAATATTCAGGGCCATGAGCCGCCCCCTCCCCCATAGCTTTACCATAGCCGTGGGGGTGTCCCCCATCCAATATTTCCCTTTCTTATTATCATTCTGTCTGCTTATTTAATTTTTATGAATAGCGACCCTCTTTCCATATTATGAATAGCCACCCTCTTCTCGTATTATGACCAGCGACCCTCTTCTCGTATTATGAATAGCGACTCCCTTCTTCGATTATGAATAGTGGTCCTTACGAATAATGACTCTCTTCTCGTATTATGAATAGTGGTCCTTACGAATAATGACTCTCTTCTCGTATTATGAATATGACCCTCATTCCACATTATGAATAGCGACTGTCTTCCCGCATTATGAATAGTGACTCTTTTCTTGTATTATGAATAGGGACCCTTAGGAATAACGACAAAAATTTTGTATTATGAAATGCGACCCTATTCTTAGATAATGTTAATTATGGATACAAGAACTCT